ACCTCTGGCTTGTACCCAGTTCTGTATGAATAAATAAATCTTTAAAAAAAAAAGTAATTAAGTAAATCTATTCCCATGAAAAGTTCTATCAAAACAGGTTAAATACAAAATTTAGGGTCAGATGGGTATAATAGCATAATGTGAGGCCCTGGAGTCAAATTATCTGAGAACATATATTGGTTGGAGCACTTTAAAATTGTATGGGTCTTAGGCAAGATACTTTCAGTGCTCCATCTGTCATCTGTAATCTACAAGTAATAATTGTACCTCTCTCACAGAATAGTAATGAATAAGTTATAAAGACTACTTAGATGCTGACATGTTAGTTGATTAATCATCACTACTATTCTCAATAGTTTAAATTCTTCTTATAAAGACAAAAGATTGACAATTCTCAGTTCACAGGCATTTGAAACATATAATCAGAATTTTAAAATATAGTCCTACCTTGCTATACCAGTTGAGACAAGGTTGTACTACATCAGGATCATCAATGCCACTAAGTTCAACATACCAGATGCTAAAGTTAAAGCTGGGTCCCCAGGATAAGAGTGGAACTTTGAGGATAGAAAAAAGAAAACAGGAAAAAATTAATATAATTCAAATAAAATTTTAGCAACGTAAAATACTGCTGATGCCTATTAAGATACATTGAATAAATTTTCTGAATATTTTCTATATGCCTAGCATCAGTTTAGGCACCATACAGTAGCAAAAATAAACATAATACACACCATCATGAGCTTTCTGTTTATAAAGAGCTGTTAAATTAAAAGTAATCACATTTTCTATCTACCTTATACATAGAGAAGACAGGCAGAAGAGAACTGTAGTCACTAAAAAATGAAACCAAAACACCTTTAAAAAATAGACAAACTTCTAGCCAGACTCACAAAGAAAAACAGAAAACTCAAATAGGATCATAAATGAAAGAGGAAAAATTACAACAAGACACAAGAAAACAGAGCTTTATGAAATATAAAAATGCACCAAAAGACATTAAAATGAAATAATTTCCTTTCAGATATATGATCTTAAATCAAAAGTCAAACTACCATAGATCTACAAACTAGAAAAGAACTCAAGATAATGTCCAATAAACCTAACCCCACCATTAGACTAAGAAGGTATTACTGATTTTAACAAAAAAATGACTTAAAAAAGTAAAGTAAGGCCCTCCCTGGTGGCGCAGCAGGTGAAAGCACAGCATTAAGAAGCTAAAGCCACTTCTACATGAGTTCGATCCCACCCTGCCCTGGAGGTGACCACATGGCGCGGCAGACCTCTCCTGACCCGCCCGTTGCTCCCCTCAGCAGTGTGCTTCCTTGATCTGCCTATTCTGCTCCTAGCTCTGTCTCCTATCACCCTCCACGTCTCTGGCCTGTACCCCAGTTCTGTAGGAATAAATATATCTTAAAAAAAAAAAAAGTAAAGTAAAATTTATCTAAATGTCATTTAAGCTATGCTAATACTTTGGGTTACCCACACTAAGATATGAAAAGCTAGCCATTGCTTTTGTGAAAGAGAGTATTTTCCTTATTAATTTGAAAACTAACGAATTGTTGTTGAAATCACTGTATATAAAGTATTATTATAAATGAAAAGTATATTAAAATGTAAATACATAATTTGGAGATTACTACCAATGTGTTAAGTCTTGCTTCTGTACCCCTTCATTACTATGAATGACTAAAGGATGACTAGTTAGAAATTTACATTATTTAAGGAAATAGTGTTTTTTGAATAAATCAAGAACTTGTAAACATATTACTGTGGAACACAAATGTGAAGTATTCAAACATGTTTTCATTTAAGAATTCTAACAATTTAGCCCACCAAAAAAAGAGTTACACATCACTCAGGTGTTTTCTCAAAGTATATTTTTAATAAAACACAGGGATAAACTTAAAAATATGAATTGAACAGAGGCTTTTAGTTTTACATTTTCTTTACATTATTTTCATGGAAAATATATCAAGACAATGTTGAGGAAGAGTTTGAAAGCAAACTGCAGAGCACTATCATTTACAGAAAAGTGAGAAATAGGAGGCTATTTAAACATCACTATCCTAAACATCAAATGAATAGCAAATATCGCTAGTTATTTGGAAAGCTCCAACTAACATTTCACCTAAATAATATAAAGTAACATAGGGTCAAGTAAAGCATTATCATTCTCTATAATTAAAAGGACCACAGGAAGGAATGAAAAAGGTTCAATTTCTTGTCTCAAGGCAGCTGAATGTCTAACTGATCCATAAGATAACTGTTCTTCTATAAAAATTTTTTAAAAGATTTATTTATTTATGCTTTCAGAACTGGGATACAGGCCAGAGGTGTGGTGGGTGAAAGGATTCACCAGACACAGAATGGGGAGCAGGACAAGCAGACTAAGGGTAGCAGTGGGTGGGTCAGAAGAGGTCTGCCACACCATGTGGGTCAGCTCCCTGGCCAGGGAAGGAACTCAAACTGCAGTGGCCTTGGAGAGCTTCCTAATGAGGTGATTTAACCGGTTGTGCCACCAAGGGGAGCCCTCTTCTATAAATTTTTAAGGGAAGAAGCTATGCAACTTCCCTTAACATATTTTTATTTACTCTTCTAGAGGATAATACTAGAAGATTAGCACCTATAGACGTTAATAGTAGCAGTTTCCTTCAAATAAAAAAACTAATGACTGAAAGAAATGTTCAAAAGCACAAAATTTGTTAAAAGGGTGAAGAACATTTTAGTTTGCATGACTAAACAAAATGAAGTTGAGTAAGTACTTTAGAACTGTATAGTCTAGGGCCCTCCCTGGTGGCACAATGGGTTAAAGTGCAGCACTACAAGCTAGCTGCAGTGTTTCAGTGCGAGTTTGATCCCCAGCCTAGGAAGTGATCCATATGGCGCAGTAGGCCTCTACTGACCTGCCCACTGGTCCCCTCAGCAATGTACTTTGTCAATCTGCCTGTCTGGCTCCCCACTCTGTCTATGGTAAATCCTCTCACCACCCCTGCACCTCTGGCCTGCACCCATTTTGTATGCATAAATAAATTAATCTTTAAAAAAAAAAAAAAACTGTAGTCTAAATTATATGAGAATGTTATTTTTACTGCTTGTACATTTGAAAGATGACAGAATTACAAATATTTTTATGAAGAGTGTTCTATAAAATGAAGAAAGAGAAAGAACTACCCAAGAATTAAATTTATTCAAAAACTTTGAAACTGATAAAACAGAGGAGGCGGGGAAAGGGAAATAAACAAAACCTTGCTTCTTATAAATTCTGAAAGCAAGACAGGGACACAGTTTTTTATTGACATGTATTTAATAGAATTAAAGCAACACTACAGGCAGTTTAGCTTTTCTGAAAATGATTTTCCCTTTCTAGGTAGTTTTTATCAACACTTCACACATTGTTTTTGCCCAACAGAATAATCTGACTGAGAGAAATGAGAGGCCAACACCTGACAGACTGGCAAACAAGCACCTGAAGTATATCACTTTCACAAGAGGGATTTTTCTCCCAAATCGAAATGTGGGGTTCTGGCTCTCATTTTTGTTGAGGGGTCTGATTCACTTAATTGTCATTTTAATATAATATTTTCAAAGGTATGTAATATACAGAAATTAAAATATGCAAGCCTTCTAATTTTATAACCTCTAAATAGTCCATTTTATAGGAAAACAAAATAATTCTACAAATAATAATCTTGAGGCATTAAATATGCACTTAGCATTTGCTAAAAAATCTTTTTTAAATTGAACATAAAGCTAAGTAGTCTTAAATAGGATTTTTCAACTAGTACTTTGCAGTAATTTAATAGATCATAAAATTAATGGGTCTGACCAACATACCAGTAAAAAAGTAACTCAAAAGAATGATATAGAAATCATTGCAATACAGTGGTTTAAAGACTTCATCAATATTGAGTTTTAGAATGTTGTAAGATTACAACAACTGATATACCTTACATTAATCAATTAATGCAATCAAATAACTGCATCTTATAAAATCTTCCAAGAAGCTTTCAAGTGAAAAAATATTTGGAAAACATTTCACTTGAACTTACTGTAACTTGGTGATAGATTCATAAAGCAGTAAACAACAAACTTTTTCTACAAAGAATCAAATAGGAAACATTTTGGTTTTATGAGATATGTGATTTCTTGCAACTAATCAACACTGTGCCTTTGTAGCGCAAAAGTAGACATAACATTACGTGAATAACTGACAAGGCAAATTTCCATAAAATTTTACAAGCTACATTTTGCTGACTGATGCATAAAGAATTTATTTGTATTCCAGGATGCTAAAAACTTACCTATTTTAATGAATCGACAAGGAAACATCTGTTCATCAATTTTATGCTTCAAGGTGAATGTTTCTTTGTTATAATCATTCTTTAAGCCACTGAAGGGAAAAAAAGAAAGCTGTCAAATCTTACTTCATAATTTAGTAAATACACTAAAACACAGGTTATTATTTGAATTTTTTTAAGTTAAATCAGTGCTCAAAATACATGACTTAGGCAATACAAAGATGTACTTGAACATGAGAATATAGGTCAATGCTTAAACATTTCACATCAACTTTATTACAGCTATATTCTCTAAATTACATGACAACTAATGAAAAAGTTCAGTGTAAAGAATGTGGCTACAGTACCTACAAATGTGACAGGATTTAGGGTCCTTACTATATAATGGAATATGAGACAGAGTATTTAAGCAATAAGAAGGAAATTACATAACAATTTACACATATATCTAAAAGCTTTGAGCCAAATATTAGATTTGTCAAAGAACTAAATGATTTAATTTTAACCAAGATGCTAGTGTTGCTTTCATAGGTGAATAAAGTTCAAAGACAACCTTATTCTGTTGTTTAAGTTGCATCCTCTTCATTCTAAATAAAAATAAACCTTTATTACCTCTCTATGTACAGTCACTTACTTTTATGATACCTTAAGTCTTGAATACTTTCATGACTTTAATCAAATGCAGTACAGATGTAATACTGAACTTACATAAAGAATTTTTCTATTGGGATATACAACTGGAACATCAGATATGTTCTAAAACTCCAAGGCTTCATTTGCTCATTATATTGGCTATCTGACCTATTACATAGGAGGCAAACAGGTACTTTTCACTCCTGGTGGGCTGTATTGTTAAAACCCAAATTTTACTGAGCTCCTTCCAAGTGGCAGGCACTGTATAAGAGAAAAAGGCACATACTTTCTCTCTTTTATATCTCCAAGACCCAGAATATTAGGGCAGGAAAAAAATTATACACACACACACACACACATTAGAGAATTTATATTTTTATAGCAAAGATTTTGATAGAAATTGAAAGTATTTCTGAAGTTCAGTGAAAAAAAAGATTGACAAGTAGGGGAAAATTGTTTTTTCTTGGATAACATTACATAATTGATGGTTTAAAAAAAAAAAAGCGAATTCAAGCCACAATATTGAAATAAGACATAGGAAAATAGTAAGAATCCCTCACCATGCAGATTTAGCTACAGAGACTAAACGAAAACATCAGCCTGTTTAGAAGACAACTCTTTCCTCATCATAATCAAAACTTACCTAGACAATAGTTCTGTCATATTTTCTTCATTCATTCCACCAAAGACTTTAAATTTCTTCAAATTACAAACATGAGTTTTCTCATATTTTCCAAATGTGATATTTTGGACTATAGCAGGTCTTTCAAGCTTCAGAATCAAGTACTGAAGAAAAAAAAAGAAAAAAGAAACGATCAAATTATATCCTCCTCTGTTTAAACAAATAGTTAACTTACAGTTAAAACTCTGCAACAGAAGAAAATATAAGGTTCATCTGTCCAACTTACACAGATTGAGTTTTTTTTTTAAATGATTTATTTATTTGTGCATACAGAACTGGGGTACAGGCCAGAAGCTCAGGGGTGGCAAGAGGCTTCACCAGAGAAGGAGTGGGGAGCAGAACAGGCAGATCGACAAAGTACACTGCTGAGGGGAGCAGGGGGTGTGTCAGGAGAGGTCTGCCGCACCATGTGGTCACCTCCAGGGCAGGCGGGGATCGAACTCATGCAGAAGTGACTTAAGCTTCTTTGTGCTGTGCTTTAACCTGCTGCACCACCAGGGAGAGCCCAAGAGACTTTTTTTTTTTTTTTTAGTAAGTATGGTATAGAAGAGTACAGCAAAAGAGACATTACAAAAAACAGACATCCCACTGACTGGGAAAATTTTTTATTATATAAAACTAGCAATAAAGGATCGATCACAAAGATTTACAAAGAACTGATGAAACTCAACAAAAATAAAAAATAACTCCATCCCAAAAATGAGCAGGAGAGCTAAAAAGACAATTCTCCAAAGAGGAAATGCAGATGACCAACAAGCATATGAAAAAATGTTCAATATCACTTGTAATAAAGGAGATGCAAACTAAAACCACAATGAGATACTACCTCACACCAGTGAGAATGGCACATCTTAAAACAACTAGCAACAACAAATGTTGGCAAGGATGTGGAGAAACAGGAAGGGTTCCTGTACTGGTGGGAATGCAAACTAGTACAACCACTATGGAAAACTGTTTGGATGTTTCTCAAACTGCTAAAAATGGAGCTTCCATTTGACCCTGCAATCCCATTCCTACGTATCGACCCAAAAGACACAAAAACACTGACTCAAAAAGATACCTGCACCATGTTTATTGCTGCTTTATTTATAATAGGAAAGACATGGAATCAACCTAAATGTCCAAAAGTAGATGACTGGATTAAAAAGATGCAGTACATACACACTATGAAATGTTACTCAGCAACCAAAAAAAGATAAACTCATGCCGTTCACAGCAACATGGATGGAGCTGGAAGGAATTATGCTCAGTGAAATAAGTTAGAAGAAATAAGAAAAATATCAAATGGTTTCACTCATAGGAGGAATTTAAGAGACCAAATAAGACATGAGGTACAGGGAGTGTATTGTTATTACAATACAAAACACAACAAATCAAAAAAGACCATTATAAACCAGAGATATCCTACAGGGGAGGGGAACAGAGAGGGATCAGAAGGAAGAAGGAATGTGGAGGATTATGGTGATTTTGGGTGGGTGAAGTGGGGGAGAGGGGAGTAAACATTGTTTTAAAATGAACAATAATGCAAATAGATATATAAGTAAAATTTTTAAATGTTAAAAAGTAAAGAAGAAAATTTTAAGGAAAAAAAAAAGAAATACGGATGTGTGTAGCAACATAAAAATACATCAAAGACATTCCCACAAAAGGACACTTATTTAGCTATAGGACAACACTATTTAATAGTAACACTACTCAGCATTGATGTTCAAGAGGGAGAATAATGAAATCTGCAAAATTTATCAATAAAATCAAAATGTGATTAAACATTAAAATTTCTACCTATAAGCTATTTGTACTGATCATTGTGTTTTCACTACATACAAGATCGGGCACATTCAGATATGACTGGAGACAATGTTTGTTTCAAATTAGAGATTTTTTTTATTTAAGCAACTTTTGGTAGCAAAAATACTATTTGGTTATTAATAAAATTGTATGTACACAAATATACTTTATGCTGGATATAAGGGGTTTTGTATATGGGATGATAGCTCGCCAACATAAGATTGTATGAAAATTCCATTTTACTATTTGTACTAGTATAATGTATCAGTTATTCAGATAATAGCAGAATTTTATTGTACAAGCTTCTTTGCCTCTTGTTTTTTTCATTCTACAAGGGAAATCCCACCTACTCAACTGATATGAAGCTCACTCACGCTATTTAAATGGCTGACAAAAAAGTTCCACAAAAGATGTTTTCTATCATTCCCTGTGACTGGATAGTCTTTTTCTCCTCTGTATTTATAGTATTTCAAGATTTGCTGTATTAAATAATGCTATTCAGCAAACATTCTTATCACTTATGGTTTTATTTCTAAGAAGCAGAGTTCCAGCAAGAACCACCTGGTAGGACTATCTACACCCCCTTTCCAAATTATATTCAAAAGGCACTGTAACAATTCATATCTTCATCGCAAAGTATTGGTCCTCGTCTTCCCAAATTCCTGCAATGGGTATTATCATTCTTTTAAATATCTCAATAGGCCACACATTTTGAACAGCCTATGGATAAAAAAAGAAAACTATTACAAAGCCTTGACAAGATACAAAAAGCAAACATCTGAAGGTATAGAATACCTGCAGGAACAGCTGCAAACTCAAGTGGGACGTGCACATTCACTTGGAGAAAAGGAGGCAGGAAGGAAGCTACATAGTATATCCTACCTCCATAACTTGTATTATGGGAGCTAAGTGCACTCTTACAGCAGTCACAGCATCAAAAGGAGCAAACACTGAAAACCCCACAACTATCTTGCCTGGGATTCATAAGAATGTTTGCAAAAACATGAAACTTGAAGATAGTAGTTTATTAGTTAAGGCTCTCCAGAAAAACTAATACGAGATAAGAACAAAGAAGAGAGGAGAGAGAGGGAAAGAGAGAGAGATTGATTTACTATGGGCATTGGGTCATGCAACTACAGAGATAAATAAGAAAGTTCCAGGATATGCCCGAAAAAGGAGAAAAGTAGATTCTGCAACCCCAGTCTAGCCTTCAGATAACTGTAGCCAATGATCAACTGAAGCCTCACAAAGACACCAAGCCAGAACCATCCAGCTAGCCACTCTTAAATCCTAAATCCTGACACTTAACCTAAAATAATAAATGCCTATTTTTTTAGAGATTTATTTATTTATGCATACAGAACTGGGGTACAGGCCAGAGGTACAGAGGCAGTGAGAGGATTCACCAGACAGAGTGGGGAGCAGAACAGGCTGATCTACGAAGTACACTGTGGAGGGGAGTAGCAGGAGGGTCAGGAGAGGTCTGCCACACCATGTGGGTCACCTTTGGGGTGGGCGGGGATCGAACTCATGCTGAAGTGGCTTCAGCCTCTTAAAGTGCTGTGCTTTAACCAGGGAGGACCAGCCTAGTTTTTAACAAGTTTTGTGATAATTTGTCACACAGCAATAGATAACTAATACAGGATCCAAGATCAAAAGAAATACTAACAGATTCACTTATAATATATATTCAGGTTCAACAACTTAATAACTTCAGCCATAAGTTAAATATAGCCATAAGTTAAACATTTGTATTTCATTCCTAAATAAATATTATTACTCACTAATGTGAAGATAATGTGCTTGTTGGACACTGCACAACTTCTCAAACATTTCAATTAGCCTAAAATCTACCACTCACCTTTTCTGAACCACATTAATTTTCCTACAGGACACTTGTTTTTTCATCTCAACAAGCAAAACATCCCAGCTTTGAAAATATATGACATTATAAAAAAGGAAATACAAAAATTGATAACTATGATGTTACGTTTTGAAGATGTTACAATCTAATGAAAAAACTACACACAAGCAACTAACTATAACACAAAATAAAAAGACTTGTGATCCCATGATAAATACAATATAAGTGCTTCTGCCATTAAAATAGAGTAAAAGAATGAACAACCATATGCCAGAGACATTTTGTGGGGGTGGAGTGGGGAATGGGATCAAAAACGGAGGGGGGGGAGAGAAATGCACGGGATTATGGTGATGGCACACGGGTGATTTGGTGATGGAAACCCGCAGGGATTACAATCGAGATGGAAAAAAAAATGTACAAAATGATGTAAAAATAAACTTTTGTCATAAAAATAAATAAATGAATGAATGAATAAATAAATAAAGTAAAAGATTTAAAATTAATCTGTGAGGGGCCCTCCCTGGTGCCACAATGGGTTAAAGTACAGCACTATGAAGCTCTCCGCAGCCTCTGAAGCACAAGTTTGATACCCGACCAGGGAGGTGACCCATATAGTGTGGCAGATCTCTCCTGACCCTCCTGCTGCTCCCCGTAGCAGTATATTTCATTACATCTGCTTTCTGCTCCCCACTCTGTCTCTGGTGAATCCTTTCACCCTTCACACCTCTGGCCTGTACCCCATTTCTATATGCATAGATAGATAAATCTTTAAACAATAAATAAATAAAGTTAATCTGTGAGGATTGCCTCTTCATGCTGCCCTGCCCACCCCAATGACATCCTGAAGGAAAACAGCTGGGGGAATTGTAAGAGAATGGTGAGTCTCACTGCTCCACTCCTTTACTTCTAGAATGGGGGCAGCTGGAACCAAGGGCAGACAGAAGCTTCGGGACAGACTTTAAAAGAGCCAATCACTATGGGGGGGAGAGAAGAGAAGTTCTTGCTTCTGTTTATGTCCCACGTACACTCCTGGTCCCAACCTGTGGATCTTTTCCTGGTTTCCATGCATTGGCAGATGGCACTATCCCATTTCTTGAGACAGGTCTGGCAGCCACCGTGTTGATCTTGTATTAGATTCACTTTGGTTGGTACATTTTGAAATTTAGTTCTCTCCTTTACTCCCAGTCCTGTGGGCCATGTACAACCTCTTGCTTGTGTTTTCTGCAGAGGTTGCCTTGGAGTCATTCTCCTGGCAGCTCTGCTCCTGGGCCTTCACTGTTCTGCTTTGGGACCTCGTCTATTGGCTCAACAGATGCCCACATGGGGTTGGCGGACTCTGGTGTTTCACTGGAAATCCATATTTTTATATTCTTCTCCCAACTCCTACTCCTCTCCCTCTCTATTCCCTTTGAACCCCTCAGCAACTAAAAATCTTTAAGCACACAAGAGTTTGATTACTTTCCTTTTATGCACAGGGGCATGAATCCTTAGAACAGGCAACATGGTTTTTTCTCCCTTTTTATAGTTTGGGATCCATGGGTATTTGCTGGTATTGTCCAGGATCACTAATTAGTAATTGAGAAATATTTCCATCTACCCACTGCTTTCAGAAATTGGGGCTTATCAAAATAATATGAAATAAAAAATTTACATTCCAGAAATAAAATAGCTACATTATAGCCCTAAAACATTATTATGGATGAAGAAACAGAATCTTAGATAGTTAACTTCCTGCCCTTAAATAAGATAGGCGCTACAGATTTTTTACAATATGTAAAAGATAAAAGAATATCAAGCAGGGCCCTCCCTGGTGGCGCATCGGGTTAAAGCACTGTACTAAGAAACTTAAGCCACTTCCACATGAGTTCGATCCCCAGAGGAGATCCACAGGGCATGGCAGACCTCTCCTGACCTGCTCCCCTCAGCAGTGTACTTCGTCAATCTGCCTGTTCTGCTCCCCACTCTGTCCCTGGTGAATCCTCTCACCCTCTGCATCTCTGGCCTGTACCCCAGTCCTGTATGAATTTAAAAAAAAAAAGTATATCAAGAATTGTGAAAATATGAAAGCAAGAATTTTTCCTGTTTGTATATATCATAAAATAAACTCAAACATTTAAAAAAGAGACAAAATGTAACTTCTGTATTTGGTTATCTGTTAGGAAAAGACTTAAAATTTATTTCAAAGTGCTTTAAGAAGTAACTTTCATCAACTGACAACTACCATCCATTCAAAAGCTACAAAAATATCTTCCTTAATCACTGAAATAACACTTTTCACCCAACCTGTCTTATTTTATTTATTTTGTTTTTCTTTCTCTCCTCAAAAAACAAGCTCCACAAAGGGAGAAATTTTTGTCTTCTTATGTATCCTAATGACATCTGGTTTTCTTCACTGGTGTGCCTCAAACACCAAAAGAATATGACAAACCAAAGCCTCTCAATATACTTATCTTGAATTGAATGAAAGAAAGTTACAAGACGATAGGTGCGAGGGTATGAGAGGCATAATTCTAAGATGGTCCTCCAAATTCCTGGCCCCTAGTGCACACAAACCTTATCTGAGGTATTTAATCAAACAATAATCTAAGCTGTGAAGGAATCAGACAGACATAATTAAGGCTCCAAATCAGCTGGCTTTAATTAAAATAAAGCACCTACCTAGGGGGGCTACCTAATCACATGAATTCTTAAAATCTGAATCCAGAAGTCAGATAAGAAGAGAAAAATTCAAAGGACACTCTTTGAAAAAGTATGGATTTGACATACTTTTATGAAGGATGTACTTTAACGATGGCTTTAAAATGAAGGTGGGCATGTGTCAAGGATGTGAGCTGCCTCCAGGAACTAAGATCAACTCTCTGCCAATAGCCAGCAAGACAGCACATATGGAATCACTCCTCCATCTCAAAACCTTGAAGATGTCACTCCAACCTCAGCATGTCATGGACCATACTTGCTGCTGGAAACTAGAGGAGGAGCTGAGTAACCATGCTGATGTTTAAAAGACTGAAGACAGGCACCTCATTTTCTTGCGTTTCAGGCTTTGTTGTGCATGCTGGTTTCAACTCAGCACTGCTGGTAGGAACTGTTAACCAATTAATCTTTTTCTCTCCCTATTCCCCCTCTTCTCATTCCCACTATCAATAACATTTTTTTAAATTCTCTCTGCACATCTGCTTTCAAGTCTTAATACCAAGTTCTTAGGCATGTAGGTATAACCACAAGAAAATAAATTATGAATACAACAATTTGCTACAGAACCATCTAGCCCGGTCAATACCTTGATTTCAGCTTGTGATAACTTAAGTAAAGAATCTAGTCACACCATGCTGAACTATGGCCTACAGAACTGTTAGTCAAAGAAAGCTGCCTTACACTGCTAAATTTGTGATTTGATACAGCCTTAAAAAAAAAAAAATACAGGGACCCTCCATGATGAAGCTAATGCTAAAATCATAATACACATAAGATTTTAAAATATACAATCAAACTCATAAGAATTAGAATAAAATTTCCAATTGCAATCAACAGTGAACAATACCACATAGTAGGCTTGTGGAAAAACTTTAGAACGAGAGATAAAAACTTCAAAAGGGGTCTGTTTTGAGAAAACTTCAATGGGTAAAGAAATAAGGATAAGAATCAAAACACATTATTACCTTATTATTTATTCTAGAAAACAGTCAAAAGAAACTGAGAAGAGTACTGATACAATATAAGCTACTGCTAGTGAAAGGCAGAAGTGCTACCTTAGCACACATGCCCACACATGTAATCCTTCCTAGTTGTGGAAAAGGAAAGGAGCAGCTGACGGTCTAAGTGATGGTCATCCTTCTCTACATGAATGCCCTTATCTGCCTCGATGTATATACTAAACATCATTCAAATTTCTTACTGACAGAGTAAAGCATGTGAACTTCAATGTATCCTGGTAACACTGATACTTTGGATCTGACTGATACCATACCCACTAGCTACTTGGTGCTTCTGAATCTAAATTAATTAAATAAAAATTGATTTCCTCAATTCTAATTTTAGTGCTCAACAGCTACCTGGGGCTAGGTCTTACATTACACAGTGGAAATCATGTCATATTTTCATCACTGCAGAGGATACCAGAAACCACCTTAGACCTATACTGAAATAAACAATATTAGCTACCCTTTCACTAGACTCCCAAATTATTATACTTTCCTTATTGTATGTTATTTAGATTTTTCTGTCTTTTTCCTCATGACATTTTTGTCAATTATCAGCTTGCTATTAATGTCTCTTTTACAGTGATGCTCCCCTTTACATAAACTTGCTTCCAGAAATCTGAGAAAATAATTAAAGAAAGTAACATATATTCAAAGGAGAGGGAAGAAAAAGCCCTCAGGACATAAAATTTTTGATTTTTCAGAGTCCTCTTTTACTTTGTTCTAATTCTTAGACCAGTTCAAGACATGACAAATGAACTGTCAGTTAAGGTACACTTGCTCATGATTTACGGATTCATTATCTGAAAATTTATCTACTTACCAAAATGTATTTGTAACACCATTATCAGTACTTGGAGCACTTTCACATTTATCAACATGTGCAGAAAAGCGCATGATAATATGTGTCCCTTGGAACCTACTCCCAGCTGAGATCAAACACAGCACACTTTGCCTTCTTGTTTTAATTCTCATACTATAAACAAGTGTCTATTTCCCAGTCAACTTAGTACCACATTTTTTATATTTTTGTCTTTTCTGTTGGTGATTTCACTGTCTAAAATATCCCCAAATATAATGCTGAAGTTCTGACTAGGATTTCTAGATAGAAGTTTGTGATGTACCTTATAGAGAAAATGTGTTAGATAAGCATGCTTCAGGCTACTAGCTATAAGTGCAATGTTTACAGACAATATACACAAAATAAGGTGTTTTTAACAGAAACAAACATAAAGCATGTGACCATCAAATAACATACAAGAATGTTCACTGCAATCTGTTCATAATAGCAAAAAATTGCATAAACCCTAAAGCCCATCAACCACAAAAGTTATAAATACATTTTGGCATACAAATATACCAAAATACCACACAGTAGTGAAGATCAACAAACAACAGTTATACTCAACCATATTAATAAATATGATGTTAAAAAAGAAAAAAAGCAAACCACAGAAAATGTATAGTTAGTCAATTTATATAAAGTCAAAGCCAAACAAAACTTAGGTGACTACTTGCCAAGGAAAAATTTAGCTCACAGTCCTGATATCATCTAAATATATTCCTTTATTAAAATAACAAGCTATATTAAGCTTATTTTCCCTAAAAGGTAGTCACTGGTCACTGAATTAAAGTTTAATTTACTAACATTTCCTTAAATATTTACAGAATAGGTGGCATATAAGTACAGATTGAAGTGAACTGCTCAGACAGTTTTTCAGATGAGTCAAGCATTGAGTGGTAACAACATCCGAACCAGTTCCTTTTAAATAACATTTTCTTCAAAGAATATATATTTAAAAAAAAAAAAAACTTGAAAACTCTTCATCAGTATAATCCAGAAAAAAAATATAGACTTTAAATGTTGTGGTAGCCAAAAGTAGCCAAAAGTAAAGTCTGTTTCAACACATTACATTTCCTAATGAAATAATTTTCCACACAATTTAAACAAAAGAGGAAATAAAAATGTGCCTCATAAAGTCAAAGAACGAATAAACTATTAATGGAATAAGATAACTGATATTAAGTGCCTATTTAAATTTTGATTAGTAAATGGAAGTCTACACATCATCTAAAACAACTGTCACATAATCTTACCTGGGGAGGATAGTTGCTCTCTGAAGACCACCTTGAAGACTGGTCATTTGGTTTATCCACTAAAATGTTCCTGAAATATATATATTAAAAAGGAAATTATAGCACTTATTAAAAGAATAAGCAAAGACAAATGTTGCAAAAAGAGAAATAATCTACTTGCTGCTAATTATCATCACAATTTTATGTTTGAAATTTAAACAAGAAAGGAAAATAAAATATATTAAGAAACCCAGAAAACCTCTTTATATATAAGATTTTAAAATATGATAATGTTAGCATTTCAAACAATAGAGCAGAGCCAGAAAAACACAGCTCTACTGCGTACTGTTAGGTGGGATTGTCGTTCTGGTGTCTGGTGTGGGGTGGAGTCCACAAAACCTGATTCTGTAGAGTTCATTCAGGACATCCTTTCCTCCTAACAATTCCACATGAAAAAAATGAACCAACAAGTATTTAGGGATTTAAATGATAAAATACCTAACAATGAAGAATATATATATATATAAAACATAAATATGACATTATATTACAATTACTTGATATTATATTATATGTAATTGTACATATATTATGCCTGTACTTTATTTTTTATTTTAGATTTATTTATGTATGCATACAAGAACTGGGGTATAGGCATGAGATGTGGTAGGTGAGAATATCCACCAGAGAAAGAGTGGGAAGCAGAACAGGCAGACCAACGGGAATACAGTGTTGAGGGGAGCAGCAGGAGGGTCAGGAGAGGTCTGTTGTGCCATGTGGGTCAGTCCCCTGGTGGGGGAGCTAACAAGCGCTGCAGTTGCTACAGACAGCTCCACCGTGCCATGCTCTAACCTCTTGTACCACTAGGGAGAGCCCTGTACTTAATATAACATATGTTGATACCATATAAATAAACTTTGGATCAAAAAGGTCTTTTAAACACAATATCAAAAGTAGAACTGTAGATGAAAAAAGTTAACTGCTACAAATATCTTTTGAATGATGGCAACAAATATCCTGAATAAACAACCTAATAGTACACCACAATCAACCTGAAAAAGAGGAACAGTGAGGCCCAAAGTTAGCAGAAAGAAGGAAATACTAAAAGGAGCAAATGATTTAAATAGAAAGATAATACAAAAAAAAAAAACACAATTAAGTTGGTTCTTCAAGAAGATAGACAAACTTCTGCCTAGGCTAACAAAAAAAGAGAACATGCTAATTAAAAGAAATCACAATTGAAAGGGAAGAAATCACCACAAGTAGCACATAATTTTAAAGGACTGTGGGAGATTACTATGAACAATTACATGTCAATAAATTTGGCATAACCTAGAAGAAATAGACAAATTTCTAGATCAATGAGTATACCAAGACTAAGTAAGTAGCAGATAAGTTGAACAAATTGACAAATATGAAATTTGAAACTGCAATTTTAAAAAAACCTTCAGAAAAACAAAAGCTTGGAACCACAAAGCTTTACAAATGAATTTTATCAAACGTTTAAAGAACTAATGCCCATCTTGCTTAAACTGGCTTTAAAAATATAAGAAGCACTTAGCCCCTAATACAGTTTACAATACCAGTATTATCCTAGTACCGAAACCAAACACAGACAGCACAAGAAAATTATAGACCAATATCCCTGATAAACACTGATACAAATATATTCAACAAAATATTAGCAAATCAAATTCAATGAATTATATGTCATGGTCAAGTGGGATTTATCCCAGGGATGCTAGGATAACATATGTAAATTAATTTAGTATATCACATCAACAAATGTAAAGATGAAAGTCATATGATGAAATCAACAGATGCAGAGAAAACATTTAATGAGATTCAGCATTCATTTATGTAAAATTGCTAAATAAGTTGGGAACAGAATGAAATTACCTCAACATAATAAAGGACATATATCACAAATCAAAGGAAATCAGAATACTTAGTGGGAAAAAAAATGAGACTTTCCCCTTTAGATCAGGAACATGAAAAAGATGCCCATTGTCACCACTTTTGTTTGACTCAGTATTAGAGGTTACAGCCAAAACTATAAGACAAAAATGGGAATTGAGTCAGAAAAGTAACTATCACTAAATCACAGACATTATGTATATAGAAAATCCTAACAATTCTAAGAGCAATCTATAAATATAGCAAAATGAGGCTGCAAAATCAACATACCAAAATCCAGTCCTTTTATATTCAAACAAAAAGCAAAAGAAATTGAGGAAATAACATTTATAATTGCTTCAAAAAGAACTAAATACTTAAGAATTAACCTGAGGAAGTAAATGACCTCTGCAAAAAACTACATGTTATTAAAAAAGGACTCATAGCAACATAAAAGGATGCTACATATATGGATGGATGGGGGAATAAATATAACTATCCTACCTATAAGAATAATATATAAATTTAACACAATTCCCATCAAAACACCAACATTATTTTTCAAAGATATGAACCAAACAAAGACAATGAAATTTACATGGAACCACAAAGGCCTCAAATCACAAAAGCAAATCTGAGAAAAAAGGAAAGTAAAGGGTATCATTTACTTGATTTCAAGCTTAACTATAAAGCAACAATACTAACAATGATATGGTAGTGGCACAAAAACATATATGTGAATCAATGAAATAGAACTGAAAACAAATAAATCAAAGTACATATCAGTACCTAATCTATGCCTAAGCAGTTATGCTTATCAAACAGGGAAAGGAAAATCTTTTCAACAAACAGTCCTGGGAAAATTGGAAAGTTAGATTATACTCTTAAGTCCACACACAAAAATAAACTCCAAATGAATCACAGATTTAGACAGAAGACCTGCAACATTAAAAAACTGAGAAGAAAACACTAACAATACATTTCATGACATCGATGATAAAAATGTTTTTGATGACTCAAGCCTTATGGCAAGGAAACAAGGAAACAAAAATCAAAACAAACAATTAGAACTATCTCTTTTTAAAAGCTTCTATATATGAAGGTTAAAAAGATACC